TTACACTGAACCGTAACTCAAAATAAGATATGTAATTTACGTAGCATCCAAATAAGATATGCAATTTGAGCTATTTCGAAATAGGGCCAAATGTTGAAATAAAGTGCTACACAGCAACAAATTTTGAAATAAAGTGCTATTCCGAAATGTCCCTTACTCCTCATAGAATGAGGATTACTGGGACATCGGAATAGTGAGCCCGAAATAATGGGCTTGCTGTTAAGATGCAGGATAGCTGTTTTGGGATACTCTGATATCCCGAAATAGCATTGCAGTGTAGATGTAGTCCTTTGGTCCTAAAATGCTATGATCATTCTGCCCTGGGCCTTGGCATTTATAAAACAGAAATCAGTATTTCTCCATGGTGCTCCCCAGCAAGGTTGACCACTGTGGTAGGTTTACAACAAATAGAGGAAGGTCTAGAAAGGGCCACAATGCTAGGATCATGAACCCTGGAGCTGCTTCTATGGGTGGTAAAAGTGGCACACTGTTGCATTCTTTATATTATGTCTGTACTTTTTATACTTTTGTAAGAACCTATTACTTATGAACAGGGCTCGGCAAATAATGTAATCTACTCGCCCAGGGCGAGTAGATTATGACCCGGAAGAGCCGGCACAGAGTGATCTGTGCATGCGCAGAACGGCGCGAAACCACGCGGCTGGCGAGCGGGGCACGCCGCCACATGGCGAGCCCTGCTTATGAAAATGCATGGTTTTTATATATACCGTGCATACATTGCAGATTCTTTGTGAACAGTTAACATTTTTATTTCTCAAGGTATGACAGTACATAAAACCAAAAAATAACTTAAAAATCAATACAAAATTGCTAACAGTGATTGTAAAAAATACAACTGAAAAAATTCCAAAATTTACATATGATGTAGTAAAAGCAAGGGAGGGAGAGGGAAAAGGCATATGGTGGGATCTGGTGGTAGTATTGGCACACGAGAATGTGGGGGCACTCAAGAGTTGCCAGGTGTCCGGTATTCACCCAGACAGTCCGGTATTTGTGGGCTCCGTCTGGTTAAAAAATAAAAACAAAAACAAAAAAACCAAACACACATCTGGTTTTCACCCGGACAGTCCGGTATTTGTGGGCTCCGTCTGGTTAAAAAAAACAACAGGAAATACCGGACAATGTGCAATGTCTGGTATTTCCCATTCCCCTGGGATGGAAGCCCGGTGGTGACAATTTTCCCCTGCCACATCTGGCGGGGGTGGGGGAGTGAGAAGCACAGCAGAGTCTAGCCAATGGGAGACAGGAGGGGGCACATGCTGGGCACCATGCTAGGGGGGCACCAGGTTGGGCTGGGAGTGGAGTGCGCGCTGCTCTGGCCCACGTGACCAGCAGAGACTTGGGAGCTGGCCACGTGATGCCTCCCTCTACACAATGTGAGCCGAGGCAGCCGGGCCAGATGGCAGGAGCAGCGACTTTAAAAGTAAGAATAACTTACCTGGCCCTCCAGTTCCTCTGGTAACTGGCTCTGTGGGGGGGACAGGGGAAGGGAAGGGAGAGCTTTGATTGGGACGGGGCACTCCTGGCGTTGGGGATGCCTGGCTCAGGGGTGAGTGCATTGGGATGGAGGAGGCATGCTAGGGGAGCCTGGCTCTAGGGGAGGGGTGGGTGCATTGGGGGTTAGTGTGTGGCTCCAAACTCGAGGGAGTGGTGCAACTTTTGCTTAACAGCGTTGGTCTCCCCCCTTTTCCTCCCCCCCCCCCCGACAGAATTTTTTCCTGGGGGGTTTTTTTTTTTTTGGGGGGGGGGGGGGAGGGAGAAAGATGTTTGATATTTTTTGTTAAACCATCTGGCAACCCTAGGGCGCTCCTGTTCACAGGCAAGTGAATGACTTTGTGTCCTTCTGGTTTTTAAATGTTGGGGCTCTAAGCTGCCAGGTGCATGAGATGGCTTGAACATGCAGAGTTCCCACACCATGTCATTTTAGCTGCCTGTGCTGGGGCTGAGGAGGGGAATGGCCTCTAGGAACATAGCTGTATGGCTATAGCAGAGAACATCTGATGTATTCTCAGGACCCTATGTTACCCAGTGGCAGAATTTGTAACCCTGTGAAAAGCCATTAGGAATTACGTGGCTATATTATCCCTAACAAATTTCTTTTCCAGCATAAATCCCTGTAAGAGGGTTATATCCTTCAGCATGGAGCAATAGCCTTACGGTCTTTAAGGACATGCAATGTTTGTGCCTACGTATACCTCATGTAAACTAATAAGTCACAAACTGGAATTTTGCAGAAATAAACAGTACCATTTGATTGTGCTGCATAGTTGGTTGGAGGGGGGAGAGGAGAGGTGTGCATGATCAGTGGGCAGCAGACATGTGGGGAAGGAGAAAGGAATTAGTATATGAACAAATGCCCTCTGTGGTATGGGTTTGCAAACAGCTGATAGTTGGGACTTTGGTATGATGTAGAAGATGACTTTCCAGTCAGTCCACACTTCATTTTGAAAATGTATTTGAAGGCAGACTGAAAGGGAACCATACTGGGGAAGAGAGGGAGGGAAGGTAAGTGACAGAAACCAGAGTCTGAAAAAGGCTCTTAACTCACATTCACCCAAAATGGCAGCAGTCCTGGGTCACCCACAAAAAGTAAGTATTGCATAATAATCAATAGTAAAAACAGAAAATAGATACGCGCCAAGATCTTCCTCTGGTGTTTCGGGCTGGCTACCTACATGACCACCTTCTGGATTCTGACTTCTGAAGTGAGTCTCCATTACGGCACTGGGCTCTGAAGTGACATGACAACTAAAAATTTCGTCCTGCTCCTTAAAAAACAGATAGATTGAAGAGACAGCAATGGATTTTTTTCTGTGTTTGTAACATTTGCTTCAGCTGTTTTCATTGCCATATAAAAACTATTCTGGTCATGACACTTTTCAGCCATCTGTTTGGCGATCTTGTTGAAGAGTTTCTTATTGATGTGGCTTGCCACAAGAGCTACTTGCACTGTTGCTTGTCCCCAAAGAGTGAGGAGAACAAGGCCTACAAGCAGCTGCTCAAGGAATGTTATATTAATACTGATATATTTGAATCCTGCAGCAAAAGGGCAAATTCTGGCGTTAGGCAAGTTTTATAAACAGAGGAGATTAATTTGACTACAGAACAGTGAAGGGCACACAGGTAAATAGGCAGGTTGCCCATGAACGCCTCCAAAGCAGTGGGATGACAGTTGGAGGACTGTCAAAGTAGTCACAGCAGCATGTTGTCCACTCAACAGTCCGCACTAACTCAATTCACAATGAACTTTGTACACTTAGAAAGAGGACTGCAGAATTCACACCACATTGGGAGATAGTATTAGGGATGTTAAATATCAGTTAATTGAATAGCTGAGTGACCTCATGAATTCTTATCAGTTAATCAACTATTCTACAGGCCCTGGGGGCGAGGCTAATAGCCAGTGCACTCTGGCCTCATTCCCAAGGAGCCCCCTCTGCCACTCCATGCTGCGGCCTCTGTATCAGAGGCAGCAGCATGGGGTGCCAGGCAGAAGCTGGTCTATGAGGGGAGCCAGTTTAAAAAACCAGCTCCCCTCATGGACCAGCTGCCTGTCACCCTGTGCTGCTGCCTCTGATAAAGAGGCAGGAGTGTGGGGTGGCAGCAGCCCCTGTCTAAGAGGAGTCTGAGCTCCTAGACATTGTGCGAGCCAGAACTGAAACGGGCTGCCTGCCTGCCCAGTTCCTAATATACTTTAAGTGTAGAGCCGCAACAGGGGTAGGTCCTGGACCCATCACAAGCCAGAACTGAGCTAGGCTGTTGGCCAGCCTGCTAAAAAATGTACTGGCAAGGAGGGCGGGGGGAGGGGGAGGAAATGCAAGTAGTCTATAATATTAACCTATAATCTTTATGCTTATCTGTTAATCAATCAATTATACTATTACATCCCTAGTTAGTATGCATTTGCACCTTTTGCATACAAGCTTTTTCAATCCACACTAACTCGAGTTAGTACAAACTAAAATCTGAGTGTAGACAAGCCTGACAATATTCTCTGTCCACTTCACATAAACAAGACACAATTAACATTCTCCCAGTCAACCACTGGACAGCTCTATACACCCCACCACACAAACATCTGAGTTTGAACATTCCTAGGAATTACTAAATAATTAAAAAAAGTTACAGAAATACGAAATCCTGGTTTTAAACTCAGTACAGTACACTTTGGAGAAAGAGCAAAGCTCAAGTGTCAGTTCAAGACTAGCCACTCCTTTTAACCCCTCTCAGGCTCAGCGTGCCACCCCTCAGGTGTTATTTGTATTGATCTGTTCTGGAGTGGAACTTAAACACATCTCTCATCCTTTAGACTGGGTTCTGGGATACAGTCCCTTGTGCACACACATTACTCAGCAGGACCAACTGGATTTGGTTACCTGCAAGATTGCCTTACAAGAACAGTGATCAGTGTCTGAATACAGTGCCACAAATCAACATTTTGAAAACAAAATAGTGTATAATTTCTGCAGTAGTATCAAAGCACCACAACAAAAGCAAACACAGCATAAGTAAGTCTACATACATAAGTCGCACCTCAAGTTTAGATGTGCCTCACTTACCCAGACACTTCCACTTCGCAAAATTGAGGTTTCGTCTGTTTCCCTGAAATCCCTGTCTCTCATGTCTCAGAGCTGTCCAATTATCAGATCCAAAGCTCTTTGCTAGTATCTCTCTCTCGAACCTCTTTCTGTTTGTCACCTTGTATCTCTGATGCACCCTGTCACGGGGGCAGGACAGACTTCTAAGCTGTTGTTCTCTGCACTGTCTTCAATATTGATAAATGGGGGGGGGGGATCAAAAGTGTTTCTCTGCTTTCCTGTCTTTGTGCAGGCCAGTTCATGCCTGAACTACCATCCCCTGAAATCTTATAGTAATAATAAAATAGACAGAGCACATATAACATTCATAAAATGTAACGGGCAGTTACTCCATCCTTCATATCAACTATTATAATCAAATCAACTTATGTAGTACAGTACCTGTACTTCTTTTTCTGAAGCTGCCATATCATAGTTTCAGATAACTCAGTGGCATAGATTTCTTCAAAGTGAGGACTCATGACTTTTGTGACTTCTCCATCTCCAGCCCCTAAATCGAGAAGTCTATGGGATTTCCACTCTGGGTTTATTTTGAGTAGTCTCTGAAATTGTTCTGATGAAAACACAAACATTGAGCCTCTTCCCAGCAACCTGAAATGTAAAGATGGCAGTGTCTGTTTTTGTGCAAACAAATAGGGAAGACTTTAAATTCTGGATGCATCTGTCACACACTGTAAATTATTTCAAACATGTAACAACTAAGGTCCCTGCTCAGAGGGATTTACAATCTAATGTAGACAAATGAAATACACAGGTTGAAAGATCACATACACATTTGCACACAGACAGCGTTGGTGTTGGCTTTACGAGGAAATTTGAAGGGAAAGGGCAAGGGCAAGTCATCTGATTCCTAGAAAGAGGGATGCAGTTCTAAGAGAAGGAGATCACACACACAAAAAAGAGACAAAGCCAAGAGTGTGAAGAGGAGAAAAGGCCCAAATCCTGCCGTCTGTACTTGCATGAGCCATCTCTGACTTCAACAGGTAATTGACCTGATGGTGAGCACAGTAAGCAGGATCTGACCATCAAAGACCAGATAAGAGGCAATAGGAAGTGAAGGCAGAGATGTAAGTAAGCACAAACCATGGGGAATTTGATATGGAACTGGAAAGCAAATTATTAAGGAATTGGCTGCAGGCAAAAATGAGATCTCCACCTGTTACTTTTTGAAGACCATATACTGTAATATTACAGAAGGTGAAAGAATTAGGACAGCAGGCAGGAGAAGAAAGAATTGGTCAGTAACAGAAGCAAGGGGGATAAAGATTATTTCAGTCTACTTGAGGTATGAAGTCAAACTTAAGACAGACAATGACTAGTACAAATACACTATATCAGCAAAGAAATTTATGATCAAAAGCAAAGACAGGGAAAGTTAAGAGAATAAGCAGTAAGGATATGAAAAAGGATGACGGGTGGAAAAAAAGAGAGTCACCTAAGAAAGGTAGAATTTACTAGAAATGAATGAAAATTGAATGAAGTGATAGAGAAAAAAAAACCATCTTCAACTAGGATAGAGACCATCATACATGCTCTAGAGAAGGATAGGTAAGTAAAGTAAATTGTGAAAAAAATGTGTGTGTGTGTGGGGGGGGAGAATAACTCCTGAAACACAAGGAAGGCACTCTGATATATTTGAGAGGGAGCAGAGATAAGGAATAACCTTTATGTTCTAATTTAGAGTCCCATGATCTTCTTTTGTCAATATTTTTTTAACCCAGAGATGAGATACTTTATCATTTAAAAAAAGGGACAGCAGAGTTTTTTTTGTTTTGCTTAAATATTTACATTTTTTCTCTTATCACAATCTAACTGAAATTGGAAAATGTCACTGAATATATAGATCAAGTGGTTTACATAAAGGTAGTTTAGATGCATTTGATAGAATGAAGAAAACAAAGCTAAGTATACCTTGAAAAAGACTGATTACTCTCTGCATGGCAGGGCATCAAGTGGCAGGACTGAGCACCTGAAAATCCACATCCAGAGTTGTCTTATCCTATCTCAGTTTACAAAAAACTGAACTAGTATCACCTTTCACTTACCCATTGATTGATGTTCTAGACATAAACAGGCTAAAAACTGAGAACACGAAAGAATGATAGAGCTGGATAAAGAGCCAGCCTGATTTCTCAATGCTGTTGTTTAAGAAGATCTGCGTTCCCTGGTCAAGGTAACTCTGGACAAAGATAGGCTGAAGGGATTCACACAACTGCTCTGTGTTGCACATGTACCACTATAGGCAAAGAAAGGAACAACATTTTAAAACTTAAGCAATAAACAATAGTTTAAAAAATAATGAAATGTATACTAGACCAATATTTGCTTTACAAATACATTTCAGAATTCTATGTGCTCTAATAAAGTCATGATTAATTTAGGTTTGGATTGTAATCAAATGAAATCAGACTAATCCTGAAGAAATAATGTTTTAAAACCATGATTTCCATAGTATTCTGGATAGTTATTTCACAAAGCATTGTCTATTAAAAATTGCTCAATAATTATATTACACTAAATAAATAAAGTATCTAATCTATACTGCAAGCCAATACCCTTCCTCCCTTCATTGACTCTGTAGATTACCTTTGAACACACATTGCAAAACTTACAGACCATGTTTCCTGCTACTCTACTATCAACAAGTTGGTCCACAAATCTTGCTACATGGCTATTGCTATACAGGCAGTCCCCGAGTTACGTACAAGATAGGGACTGTAGGTTTGTTCTTAAGCTGAATTTGTATGTAAGTCGGAACTGGCGTCCAGATTCAGCCGCTGCTGAAACTGACCACACACATTGCAAAACTTACAGACCATGTTTCCTGCTACTCTACTATCAACAAGTTGGTCCACAAATCTTGCTACATGGCTATTGCTATACAGGCAGTCCCCGAGTTACGTACAAGATAGGGACTGTAGGTTTGTTCTTAAGCTGAATTTGTATGTAAGTCGGAACTGGCGTCCAGATTCAGCCGCTGCTGAAACTGACCAGCGG